CCGGTTGTATCGGGTCAACCGATTAAGAATTTCCTCAACCGGTTAACCGAAAATTATTCAGTTCGGGTCGATTAACCAACCGATTCAAATCACTAGTTTAAAGTCTATTTTGGGATTATTGTTATCGTTATACAATTTCCGGAATTTTACATTATTCTGAGACAATTAATGATTATTCGACATCTGCAGACTAGTAAAGTTAACGTTTCGGCCGAATAATGAAAATAGCTGTAAATGGTCCATTTGCAGGTTATGTATTCAAATGAATCAAAGGATCACATGATTGGTTTTCTCGGCTGTAGGGTGCAATCAATATTATACAAGCACGTTGGTTTTTTTTATTTTTATTTTTTTTTTTACCTGGGGTGCTTCAAAAACCTAAATTTATGTTGCATAATATATACATTAATATTACAAAAGTATTTAACCTAAAATTTATTTTTGAATATATATATGCATTCACGTTCATTATTATACGTATATATACATACAATTTATAGTTCACCAGACTTGGAATTGCGTCATCATTCGATACCATTGCATGAATAATTTAACGTATGTACGTACGTACGTACGTACGTACATATCAGTATGCATCATATTGTGGAAACCCTTAATATATTATTTCATTATCCCATTCTTAATTGAATATCTTTTTTGTCTGACTTATGCAAAGAACACAATGCGAAGGTATCCTTTCTTTTGAATAACTTATATCGATATCGATACATGAAAATATCAAGAATTCTTGTGACACAAGTAATTGATTGGCTTAACATACATGTGAATTAATGGATCAAGTCGTCATTTTTTCCCAAAGATATTCTATATACTTATAATCACAACGCGCTTCGCTCGATTCTAACATTTTACTGCCATTATCATAATATGTATAATATAGATGCAATCACATAAAATAAAAATAGCAGAACTTTCTAAATCAATAAATATATCAAGGCAAAAAGGTTACGTTGATGCTCTCGAACATTTGGAAACAAAAACAAACTTAGTAAATCTGATTAGTGATTTTAATGAAGATGGAATTGTTCTGGATTTCGTACCGTTTGAATATTTCAGACGATATAATAGAGCACTGACTTATTCCGATAAATTGGTTGGTCATCATTCAAATATATAATACATCATCTAATTCCATTTTATTTGGATGGTGTATAAACCAATTTTTTTTTTTTTTTTTATGATTGACAGTGCATAGAAGATTTAGAGAAAAACATGCCAAATGTATTCCATATAACAAAAAATGGATCTGAACCATCAGTTCTCAAGGTTCAACCTAATGTTCGCTGCATGTTGAGAACAGAAGATCATAGTAATCAAGAGCGCAAGGAACAACATCTTCATTCATTTCACTTTCCATCATTATATGACCGAGGAAAAGATTATTATCAGAGACTTTATACAAATAGTCACTCTAGATCTCATGATAAGTGGGAAGAAACAGGTTATAATAAAAGATTAAGGATCGATGATTGTTGGAAAAAGAACACCAATGGTCCACCATGGACAAATCCTTATGGCAGTTTGCCTCCAAGTTTTCAGACCGAGAGACATCAAGATGAAAAAACACCATGGACAAATCCTTATGGCAATTTGCCACAAAGTTTTCGGAACGAGAGACATCAAGATGAAAAATATCGAAATGATTATGATTATGAAAGATATCAAGATGACTATGGGAGAAGTTATGATTATGAAAGATATCAAGATGGTTATGGGAGAAGTTATGATGATTGGAATAAATATAAATATACACCTGAGCAACCACTAGGAAATCCTTATAGAGGTTTATCACCTAGCGATCGTTATTGTCGGAATAGTAGTCATCATTACACCCAATTTTATAACACCCAATTTTATATCCAATCCTATAAGGAAGAATCAAGGTTCACCGGACAGAAAAGTGTAGATTACGAAGAGAGATCTTGTCCTAATAATTTTGGAAATTACTTTGATGCTTTTTGGACAAATAACCAGCACTATCGTTATTATCAACAGCCGCCGTTGCAATCTCAAAAACATTTAAATTCATGTGATATTTCTCTACCTTCACCAAAAACCCCGATCCCTGTCGACAACCACAAGGTTATGAAATGCTTCGAACAAAATGAATCCACTCTTAGCAATAGCAAAGATAATAATAACGATGTAAAAATGGTTGACACGTTAAAAAAGACCGAGCCTGTTAAAATAACAGAATCTGTAAAGAAAAACAACTTGGAAGAAAAGAAAGAGCTTACAGCAAAGGGAGAACAAACAAATTTAAGCTTAAGAAAGCAAATTAATAATAGATCCCGAGAAAGTGGATTCGAAAAGTATCGCAAATTGGTAAAGAACCACCACAGAATACCATTTTTTATAGTACGGGAAGATGCACCTAATCTCTCAGAAGTTCAAAGAGTTGCGTTAGAACTACTCTTTTTGTGAAACAATTCTTTGTAATGCTATTATGAATTTCTATGCAATAATCCCTAGTTGCTTAATTTTTTTGTAAACAGATTAAAAACGTGAAAGCTAGATGTGATCACAATCCAATCACATATTTTGTCCATTTTGATTCACTTTCATTGAAAAAAAAAACACGACCAAACTAACTTTATTATGAATAATCTTTATTATGAATAATTATTTGTCGCATGATTACGTCAGAATTCTTTTTAGTAAAAAAAATTTTCGGTTCTTTTGTTATATATTTGGGTACAACGTTTCGGGTATTTACAATAAAAACTAATGCCACATTATTGATCATTTATGCAATTCTATTGTTTATTGGCGCAAAATTAACCCATACAATTGATAGAAACCCATATATCTCAGTTTGAATTTCGGCCTTTCTACGAATATGTTGTATAATACATTAATACATGTACACTACAAACAATGTATATACAAACAAACATTTCATTCCCTGAAATTCAAATATGTACATGAGGTATCAAACTTACTTATATAAGTGCGATGTGTAGCTTGGAATTTTCAGATCTGCAATAAGCTTTTTTTTTCAAAAAAGTTCGAATTTATATTTAAATATTTAATAAATCTCCATAATATCTGAATATTCCAAAAAATATAGTCTTTTTATTAATTATCTACATACTTAATTCATCATGACATCCTTACCACGAAACAGTGAAATTCACTTTTATAAAGACGGCGATATTGAATTATTAGTCGAAAAAATAGTATTTCGAGTTCACAAAAATATTTTAACTCTTTCTTCTCAATTCTTTAATGGAATGTATCAATCTGCTACTCCTTCCATTGAAGATCTAACCGCCATCTCTAATACTGGTGTTTCGATCCCTCGAGTCGAATTACGGGGTGACGCTGCACCCGATGTTGAAAAATTATTATCATTTCTTTATCCAAACACCTATTTCGAAATTAGTTGGAGAGATGTAGCAAATTTATTAAGATTGGCTGATAAATATATCGTGGAAACTCTTACAACTGCTTGTGTTGCTTTTCTGAAACGTTCTTATCAAGAAGAACCGTTACAAGCTTTAAAATTGGCTGAAACTTATCAGATTGCTTCCGTTTATAAAGAATCTTCAAAATTGGTATTGGACGATTTCGAAAAATTTTTTTATGAACCTCGAAACTTGGAAGGTTTATCAAGATCAACGCAAAAGAAATTAAAAGTTCAAAGACAACAATACGTTGAAGGGTTGAATAAATTGTATTGTGTAACCGTCGACAGAAGGTTCCCACCCTTGACTGCTGAACATCTTAGAACAAAATTTGAAGAATGTATTAAGGATATCTGTACATTCCCATTTCATTCACCTTCATATGCTTGGATGAAATTGCATCAAGTGGATTGTTCAAAACACTTTGAGTGCAGAGAAGAATTAAGACGATTGAAACCATTTATCCATGAAAAGATTTCTTCATTTTTCGGAGGGGAGTATGAACCTTTAGCGTGGACAATTAAGGCGCCAAATTTCACTGAGCTGTCATATCCGTTTGTTGAATTAAGGGACGACTAAAATTGTGATTGAAATTATTGAAATTAGGAAAAAATGTTGATTGTGATTGAAATTAGAAGTTGAAAGATGCAAAAAAGTTGATTGTGATTGAAATTAGAAGTTGAAAGATGCAAAAAAGTTGATTGTGATTTGAAATTAGAAGTTGAAAGATGCAAAAACGTTGATTGTGATTGAAATTAGAAGTTGAAAGATGCAAAAAAGGTGATTGCGATTGCCTGAAAAAAAGGGACAAAAACAAAAAAACAAAATAAGTGTAATTTTTATTTGTATTTTTTCTTTTCAAAGTTATTGCAATGAGTATATAATTAAGAAAACTTGGAGTGTATTAGTACAATAGCTTTCGTTAGATTGTAATATGTATGTTAATAGATTGATTTGTATATAATTAAATCTAAAAAGTATAAATATATTTATCTTTATCAAGATTATTTTTTTAATATCATCCATCCTATAGACTCTTATTGAACATATAAAGTTTGTCAAAGTTTCAAGATGTAATTCGCAATTAAAAGCGCTTAAGTATAATTAAAAAGTATACTTATAATTTCAAAATGTAAACTGCTAATCTCGCAAAAATTTTAACAACTTCAGTTAAAACCTGAATAACCATCTCTACAATTTAGTGATGTTTATTAAGTAAAAAAAAAAAAACGTTGTGGTCTGGTTATATTCCAATATTATAATCATACTACGCCGATGATATTTATATCGATAGGTGAAATTGGCTCGTACGTCGCGTAAAGAGAATTACGCGACAAACATCACGAAAGGTAGATAAGGGAAATTTTATAGACTCCTTCCTTAGACGAATGAAAACTATAAAAAGATTTTCCTGGCTCCTTGAAGAAGGCACGTTTGTAATATTCACAGATAATTCGTTATAACATAGTGATCGGATTGAAAAATTTCATCTATTATAAATCCGTTATAATGAAATATCTGCTGTACGTTATAAATTGTTCTTAGATTTTCCCAAGGGTTAAACTGTAATATATAAACAAAATCATTTATTAAATCCTAACGCGACATGCAACCTGCATGGTAATACTTAATAAACTTAAAGATTGCATTTCGACAAATAAACTTAAATCTTTAAATGTACGCAACAATTAAGTAAGTGAATAATTCACGCAAAACAGTTAAATTTGGCATGTAGTTCATTTCATGCTTACATTATCCTAATTTTACACCTTTTTTTTTAATGAATTAACAACAATCTACCTGATTTTAACAATTACAAACTTGTGAAATTAAAAAATCTCGCGTTTTTTTTATTAATATATTAAATACAATAACAACGAATACACATTAAGTAAACTTGGTCAAAAAAGTATGGAAATGGTCCCTACTAGGGTGCATCAAAAATTTGTATATCTAAATCTAACCTATATCTAACCTAAATCTAATTTAATATAAATTTATATATAGACCTAATTTAAACTAACCTATATCTAATTAATCTAAATTTATATATAGACCTAATTTAAACTAACCTAAAATCTAATTTGAACCTTATAAATTTAATTTAAATCTTAATCTAAGCCTAATCTAATACAGTCGGGATTATTTCCATATTTGGCGTACTATGTGGTAGATCATTCTAGAATTTAATTCGTTACACATACATAGTCTAGAAATTGATCATCCAATTTTTATTAAATTTTTTG